CTGTTCAGGAACCTGCACAAGTGCTCAGACGGAGAAGGAGTTTTCACCTGCTCACATAAGGAAACACTAGCGAACATGATTTAAGTTAAAAGTGGAGATACACTTTCCAACTGATAAGTACAGAGCCTGTGTCCTCACCTCTGCCTGGAAATCGCCTTCCCCTCCCTCCTTCACTGTGTCCAGAGGAAGGTTTTGTCCAACCTCTCCATCGCTGGCTTCCAACTCCACTTCTTCCAGCCTAGCAGCTAGCTCTGCCCAATAAGGCTCTGTCCCCGCCCATTTCTGAGAGGTCTCTCCCCAGCCTCCATCCAGTCTGCTGAGGGCAAATACAGCAGGGAACAGTCTCTCCACCCCCAACATAACACCCCTTCCCCCTTCAAGATCCTGACGCCACTTTAAGCTACTGGCTTATTTCCCAATTTAATTTTCTCAGCACATATCCACTGCCTACTAAGGCTTCCGTTTCCTAACTGCAAGATAGGGATAACATGAAGGTTAAGGACAACATTGTGCTGGGAAGACCTAGACCTAGGCCTGGTACAGAGTCAATCAAAGGCGTTCCTTTCTGTAATTCTCAAAGTAATGACTGAGCCAAGCCTTTGCCAATCAGCCTTTCTTCCTAGCTGGGAGGCTTCTTGAAGATGGAGCCTTGGACCTACTCACCCTGTATCACCTACAGCACTCAGCATTAAGCCTTGCACACAGCAGGGGCTCAACAAATGTTTGTTGTTAAATTTCTAAACTCCTCTCTACTGAAGCAAACATTCCGGCCTTGGATCCTATCAGCACACAAAACGCCTACGGACTTCAGGGGAATCACATTCTCACACGCCGCATGCACACAGCCAAGCGGCAAGATGAAGAGCGGAGTCTGGTCCAGCAGAATCCCTCCCCCCCTCCCCCCTGAAGCAGTATTTCACATTCAGCCTGGCTTGAGGTTACACAAACACTTTTTTGGGACTCTGAAACATGATCCTGTCAAGACTCAAATAGGGCTCAGTCTTCCTAATGCTTGGACAGCAGAACACAAAAAGGACCTGTAAGAGCGAAAGTGTCTGGGCTTGGAGCCGTTCCATTTCCTGCAGAAGACCATCTCCACCCAGAAAGAAAACTCAGAGGCCCAGGCTGGGGATGGTCTACATAAAGTAGGCAGCTCTCTTAGGTCTCCCAGCCCCAGTCCCACTGCACAGATCTCCCCTGGAAGAAAGAACACATCAGACAACACACAATCTCAGCAAAACATAAAAATCTATATCCGAAGCACCAAGAAGAGTTCTAAGTTAAACTGCTCTGACAGATGCTTTCAATTCCATCCCTCCTTTGGTTTGCATTTTATAAATTGCTTTCTTGCAAAATGGAATCAGTAAACACTTACTGAACATTCACTCTGTGCCAAGTCCTGAGATTATAAGATTAAATATACATAAGGCAGTATCCTTTGCCCTCCGACAGGGCAATGAGGGAGAGATCTAGGTAAACAGACCCCTACGATTGCGTTGTTGTAAGGATTACGATAGGGGGAAGCTAGGGTGTTAGAGAAGCATGGAGAATGTGGCATCTAACCCGGGCTGCAGGGGAGGCGAGGGCCTTAGGAGGGTTTCCCCGGAGGAGGTATAGTTGAGCTTAGCTTTGAAGGATAAGTAGGAGTTAGCCAGGTGGTGACTGACAGGAATGTTGTTCTAGGCACAGGGAGCAGTGTGTGCAGAGGCTCGGCAGCGAGTACGGCACGTTTGGGAGCTGCGGGAAGCTCAGCATGGCCAGCGGCAAGCAGTCAACTAGGCTGGAGAGACAGCCAGGTCTTCAGGAGCCTCCTAGGACAATGAGGGAACTCTGGCCATATCCTCTTGGCCTTTGGAGCCATTGTCAAGGCTGAATCAGGAGATCAGCGTGTTGGGACGACTTGCACTAAAATCATGATAGTATCTAAGATGGAGAAGGAGTTAACATGAAGGCAGAGGCACCAGTCCGGACATTATTGCAGAATCTAGGAGAGGATGAGTCCTGAACTACAACCATGCAGTGAAGACAAAGAGGAAGAGATGTGTGGTGTGTTGTTTTTTTTTGTCCGTTTGTTTTGTTTTTTAAATATATTTTTAGTGATTTCGAGAGGAAGGGCGGGGAAGAGAGAGAGAGAGAGATAGAAACATCAATGATAAGAGAGAATCATTGATTGGTTGCCTCCTGCACATCCTCTACTGGGGATCGAGCCTGCAACCTGGGCATGTGGCCTGACCAGGAATGGAACCGTGACCTTCAGGTTCATAGGTTGATGCTCTATCCCCTGAGCCTCACCGCCCGGGCAAGAGATGGTTTTTGAAATGCTGAGACAGAACTGCAGTGGGTAGAGGGGTGTGCTTGTATGCTGATGCTTTTCTCTCCACTTCTGTTTCCACCTCTAGAAATCTTTGCACTTGTTCCCATCAAAACTCTTAAAGGTTGGGTAGCTATGCTAGTGAAAAGGATTCTAGCTCTGCTTCTCTCTGTCTTCTAATATTTCAGCTCCTTCTGATACTGGCTTGGGGAAGTGGTTCCGCCCTCCTCCTGGGTCGAAACGGCAGGCTGTTCTGAGATCGGATTTACTTAGGCACCAGCACAATGCAGCCCTTTCACCAAGAGCAAGACCACACAGACAAGGACACTGTGGGCCGGAGGGTCCCGTTCACTGTGATGAGGAGCTGGGAAATGGAGTGCCCTTGCCAATGATGACTATCGGTATGATACCATCAGTCACTGACTCCCACTCCCCACCCAACACGCACAGCCCTGCTCAAAGCTTTGCCCTGTGGAGTGGGACAGGCTTGTCTTCCAATCTAGGTTCTGCCACGTTCAGCAAAACACCTAAATGAGGGATACATTCCCTACCTCAGAGGTTTACTCTAAGGATTACATGACATAATAGGCACAAGGGTGGTATACGTAGTGCCTGGTGCCTAGGTAAAGGTTAACAAAAGGGAGCCATTGTATGAGGTCTATGTGTTCGGCACCTACCTGCACAAAGTCACTTCTCTTCCCTTCTCCTAAGTGTGGAAAGAGGAGAAAGGAGAGAAAGGACTAGAAAGAAGAAAAAGGAGAAAATAGGAATGATTGAGAATATGAATGAACACATGAAAGCCTGTACAGATTCAAGCCGGCCATGAAGATCACCTGCAGAT